CGTCAGAGTTTTGTGACTTCCAAAACATTAATTTGTTTTTTAGAAACTGCAAATTTACATTTTTGTGCCTTTCATCAACCCTTTCCTGTAGAATTCACTCAAAAATATATTTTGAATCGTTTTGGAAGAAAAAAAACTATTAAAAAAATTGTATATGGAACTGTATTTGCAGCATTACTCTACTGAACACATAAAGACATATGGATTTAGGTATTCAATGTCGGTCAATTTTTTCTGTGGCTTATTGATGTGACTGGGTTCTGCCAAGATCCTTTACGCAGCTCAATAGCTAGAGAACTTTTCTAACTGACAGGGACCATTATGAAACAGGAAATGAGAGAAAAAAAGGACTGCCAACGGGTTTCTTTTTGCTAGGAATCGATATAGATATGGAAACTCTCTACTAAGAATCCAAAAGCTCCATCTTTCCTGTATACTGTACCTCAGGCAGCCCTTTGTGACTGGAGTAAAAGTGGACAAGACATTAATTTGGCGGGTTCAAGGGAACCAAGCAGGATAAAAGTGAAATTAACTCAGGAGAAACCTCAAGGGAATGTTTCCTTTTGGGAAACAGGCAAATGGCTGTTGGGCCACTTTTCCTACTTCCAGGATAAAACCAAGTACATACTGGAAACAACTAATAAATACAGACCAACACTGTAAGATCCGAAATGTCACAAATAGTATTAATTTACCCGACCATATATAAACTTTCATACCGATGGGACATATCAACTGGAGTTAATCGTTCTCGACAATTGCAAAACCTTTTTACTACCAGGGATTAGGTAATGAATATTGTAGTACGAATAAAAATATACATTATTTTATGTTCAGACAGACAATCATCCACCTTAAATGGTTACTAAGAACAGAACATTGGCAGAGCTAGAAATTCGTTAATCATAGCAATCGGACGCCCGGTCATGAAGTCTGGTCCCTCTGAGACTGAGAATAAGAATTTGAATAACGTTATTATTTGGTTGTTGTGGAAGCTTTCAGGACACCGACAGGATTGAGATCTGTGACAGTAAATCTGCCTGTTTCTGTGGTGTAGCGGTTAGACGATTCGTTGTCGCATGCAAGAGACCAACGTTCTATTCTTTCTTTTCGTAAGTGTTTTAAGGCGCTCGCAATTTCATAAGGTCAAATGGGCGTGCGGGACACATTATCTAACTTTTTCAGTTTGGTAGAATCAATTTTGATGTTTGCCCAGATGGCGGTGAAGTCTACTCTTATCGATTTTGGACCACTGAGCGATCTTTAACATGCACAACTTGCACACGAGTCCTCTGAGATTTTTTGCCCTTATCCGAGAAGGATAGTTGCTCGATCTTATCTACCCTAAGATCGGGGGTGTAGCTGAAAGACAGCAGTAGTAAGGAGCCAATGAATAGCAGTTTTAGAAAAGAAAGAGTCAGGAGCCCAGAGGAGGGGACAAGGGGGACCGGAGTTTGATTTCCGAGGGAGCATGGTTTTTGTTATCGAGTATCTATGTATTTCTGCTGGGTAGGCCCTGACAGGAGATACCAACATGAAGGAAAAAAATATAAAACGGGCAAGGAAAAAAAAGCCTGTCGGCAGCCCACACCTAATATCCGCTGGAGGTAATACAAGCCTCAGTGTATCGGCTCTAAATCCTCTCCCTCGCTCTCCCCCTTCTCCTTATCCATATAACTCGTCCAAATGTCTAGCTTTCGAAATACCCTATTCGTGTCAAGATGGGCTTTGAGCTTGAGCAATTACATTTAAAAAAGAAAGAAAAAACATCCCCCCCAAAAAGAACTCCGAGAGAGAGAGAAAGAGAAAGAGAGAGAGAGAAAGAGAGAAAAAGAAAGAGAGAGAAAACGGAGAGAGGAAGAGAGAGAGAGAGAGAGAGAGAGAGAGAGAGAGAAAGAGAAAGAGAGAGAGATAGAGAGAGAGAGAGAGGGA